TTAATTCCTCTTCACTTTCAGTAAGGAACGTTATATCATTTGCATATCACAGGTTGTTACTGAGTTTTCCTTTAATCTTGATATTGTTTTCCTCTTCATATAATCTGCCTTCTGTGATTGTTTGATCAGCATACAAATTGAATAAGTATGGTAAAAGGATGCACACCTGGTACACACTTTTCTTGACTGTAAACCTTTCAGTATTCCATTGTTATGTTCAAACAACTGCCTCTTGGTCTAACTATAGGTTCCTCATGAGCGCAATCAAGAGTTCTGGAATAACCATTCCGTGCATTGGTGTCCACAGTTTGTCACTATCTGCACAGTTGAAAGTAATATCAGTAAACATCTTTCTGGCTTTTTTCTGCTTTCAGCCAAAATCCATCTGAGTTTTAATGGTGTTGTATTTAAGTGCAATTCTGTCTATAGTACTATATATTGTTGTTGTTAAGTGCCATCAAGTCGGTTCTGACTCATAGCAACCCTGTATAGAGTTCCTGAGGAACAGCTGGTGAGTTTGAACTGCCGACATTGCAGTCCAGCACATTAATCTGCAGTACTACACTAGGACTCCATATAACACTATATAGCAACCATGTATAGGGTTTCCTAAGAGCTGCTGGTGGGCTAGACCTACTTGTGGTTCACAGTTCAGTGTTTATCCTTCAGTGCCACACCAGGGTTGATTTTGGTAGAAAGTTAATTTAGAAAGACAGTGACACACAGAAAACACAGGTACCAAAAAAAAAAAGAGAGATAGAACTCAATACCCAGTGAAATATTCTTTCAGTTATAAAGATAAAATTAATACATTCTCAAATGGAAGGAAACTAAAATTGCTTGCCAGTAGCAGTCCTACTAACTAAGATTGACTAAGAAAATTCTAAAATGCTCCCATAGCATCATGGTTACAATTTGGGCTTCTAATCTCATGGTCAGCAGCTCAAAACTACCAGCTGTACTGCAGAGAAAGATGAGGCTCTCTGCTCCCGTAAAGACTAACAGCCTCGGAAACCCTGTACAGTTATTATGTGCCGTGGAGTCAGTTCTATTCACCCATAGCACATAACAACAACTCCATAGCACATAACAACAACAACAACAAGAATGTTCTAATAGAATAAAATGAGGAAGAATGAATTCTGAAGCATGAGAAGGAAGAATGTAAACTGGAAAGAACAGAAATAAAGGTACATTCAATAAAATATTATCTTCTTTCTGAGTTTTCTGAATCATATAGCTGTGGCTAGATGGCTATCTAACAAAGCAATGTCCAAAGCAAGGAATATTACAAGAGATCAAAAGGATCCAGGTCTACTAATAATTCATTACATCTTTCACTTTGGTAAAAAACACACACACACACACACACACACACCAAACAAACAAAGTCCTCTCTCTCCATTTTGAATTCCAGAGGTCCTGTCTCCTCATCAGTATTAGCATGAAAGTACAGTTGAAAAGTAGAGACCTGTCCACCTGAGTGACCCTGTGAGTATTTGAAATCTCAGTGGCATAGCATCAAGCATCCCAGTCATATGTGAACAACGATAGCACAATACACTGAAGTGGTGGATACAATTTCTGCTCACAAATAAAAATAATAAGCTCTAGAATCATGCTACAGTATGGATGAATCACAAAATAACTGGGTTAAGTTAGAGTCAGAAAAAGCATATATTGTATGACTTCATCTATTAAAAAGAAATTCTAGAAAATTGAAACTAACCATTGGTGATAGAAAGTTATTGCTTGTTATTGGGGATAGAAGAAGGGTGAGAAAAAGCATTGTAAAAGTGCACAGTAAAACTTTTGAGGGTAACAGTTATCCATATATATTGTTTTCAAAGATTTATACGTATTTTTAAATTGATGAAATTATATGAATTAAAAATGTACAGTTTAATTTTTTAGTTGCTATGTGCCGTCAAAGTCGGTTCCAACCCATAACGACCCTGTATAAGGTCTACGAGGAGTGACTGGTCAGCAACACATGGGTTAATGGTCTGGATTTTAGAGTTGGATTGAACTGCAAGGTGAGTGGTTCAAGGTTACCAGCCGCTCCTTCGAAACTCTATACATGGTCGTTATGGGTTGGAACTGACTCAACGGCACTTAACAACAACAACAACATTTTATTTTAATAATATGCCTCAAAACTGGCTTTAAAAGGGAGAACAGGTAAACTTCCTCATTCTGATGGGGCTATCATCAAAAACCCAACAGCATATAAGCGAAATAATAAAATAATTTAAGCTCTTATTCTGACACAGGAAGACATATTTCTTTCTTCCCCTACTCACTTTTGAAGTGAACATTCTTTCAAGTAGGGAAAGATTAAAGACACAATAAGCTAGTTATACATTTTAATTCTTGTTAAGTGTCCTTGAGTTGGTTCCAACTCTTTGCAACACTGTACAGAATTCTGAGTAGTGGGTTTGAACCACTCACATTATGGTTGCTGTTGTTGTTGTTAAGTGTCGTCGATATCAGCAGTTCCGACCCATAGCGACCCTGTATAGGGTTTCCAAGAAGCAGCTGAGGAGCTCGAACTGCTGACCTTGCAGTTCAAATGGCTTTGCAGTCTGGCGTATTAACCTACAGTAGATTAATAACTAAATCTACTCCAAAATAAGCACTATCACTATAAATGAAAAATTGGATCATAATAACATTAATAAAGTCTACTCTTTAAAACGTCTCCAATATGGGAATAAAAATGTAAGTCAGAAAGCAAAATAAGACTAATTGAAACAGGATAAGCAATGCTTATCCTACAGCACCATACCTGGACTTCATTAATTTTAATGGAAAGAATCAAATTGACATGCCATAAGGGAATACATTTTCAGATAAATTATCAGAATTAATCAGTGTATTTAGAGAGATTGCCAGACACATAGTCATTGTACAAAATTCATATTATGACAAATGAAAAATATACAAAAAAGAAATATAAAAGATAATTAGAGACAAACAAAATGGACAAAAAGACAGTCAAGACTTGTATACAAAAAATAAGATTGGCTGCTAAAACCCACAAGCAGCTCTTCAGATATCCTGTATAAGGTCACTATGAGTTAGAACTGACTCAACAGGACTTGACAACGACAACAAAATATTATAAGGCTGTCATAAATTCTAATATTAAAGTCCTTATACTACTAAGTTTTGATGAGGACACAGATCAAGGGATAGGTTCAAATACTACTTGATAAAATGTGCATTTGTCTTAGAACTGGTAAGCTGTTGAGATAATTTTTAAAATATTGACAAGTACATATGTCTTTGACCATACAATTTCATTTATGTGAATCTAGGTAATGTGTTCAAAAGACATTCAGAAAGATATTTAGAGAACCATTACTCACATTAACTAAGTAGTAGCTAAATATTTTAATAATCATTAAATTTCCAACCAAAAACAGAATGTATTTTAGAATGTTTATTCACATAACAGGGAAGTTTCTAGTGGTATACATGGTTAAGCACTTGGCCACTAACCATAGAGTGGCTGTTCAAATCCACCAAGATACACTTTGAGCCTACTTTTGAAAGGTTACTGCCATTGAAAACTCTCTGAAATACAGTTGAAGTTTAGAATACATGGGTCCTGTGAGTCAGAATGAGGTCTTGATGTAGCGCTGGGGGAAATAGTACTGGACTACAAGGTTGGTTTGAACAACAAGGTCAGTGATTCAAACTCACCAGCAGCTCCTTGGAAACCCTATACAAGGTTGCTATGAGTTGGAACAGACTCCATGGCTCTTAACAACAACAGCAACAGTGATTCAGAGCAGACTTCATGGCAACTGAATAGGTTGCTTGTTGCTGTTGTTTTTTCTGGTTTTGGCTTGAAATTGATTACTTACATAACCTAATAATCAGTTGAACAGCTCTCACATGTGAATGAAAGGAAATAGATTATTAACATATACTTTATGGTTCCATTTTTAGAAAGAATAAAAACAAGCAAAACTGCTCTATAATATTGGAAATCAATGTAATGATTTTGGATGAGGAAGGAGAAGTGATAAGAGAAAACAAGTGTAGAGTTAAAGGAGGCTTATAGTGAGTATTTCTTGACCTGATCTGTACTTGCATTGGTCTATAAAATTTGTCATTTATCTTCACATTTTGATGTATTTACATTTATTTCTGTATGGTAAAATGAAATAGCAAATTTTATTTTAGGAAAAATGAATAGAAGTATTGTTTTTCATAAAAAAAGCAAGAACTGGAAATGAATCACTGTACAAAGATAAACTATAAATAAACATTGCTAATTCAAACTGTAGATAATAGGTAGCTTGGAAATAAATAAAGCACAAATCTGGACAAATCAGTCTTGGAAGAACTGCATTCACAATGCTTCTTAGAAACAAACATGTCAAGACTTTGTCCTGCTTACTTCAGGCTAGTCATCAGGAAAAACCAATCATTAGAAAAGGACACCTTGTTTGGTAAAGTAAAGGATCAGTGAAATTAAGAAACATACTGCATGAGATGAACAGACAATGGACACAAACACACCAGTTATCATTAGGACGGTTCAGAAAACTGTGGTCAGTGTCACAAAACAAAATGTGTATGATTTGTTGTGTGACTACACCAATTTGCTGTGTAAACTCTCATTCAAATCACAATGAAAAGGAAAAAAAGGAGTAGGACCGAATTACATTTTGTTTTATTGTACATAAAGACTACAAGGGTCAGAGTCAACTCCATACAAAAACATGAACGAAAATGTGGATGAACCCTTAAGACCAAAATATCAACCAAGACAAATTAAGATACTAAACAGCTCATCTAGTATAATTCTATTTCTATTTCTATAAGATTGTAAAGTATGGGAATCTAATCTTTAAGATGCATAGGAAACCTGGTATGGCAGTAATATTTTTTGATAAATTTTATTGGCTCAAGTATATTTTATATTTATGTTTATTTTTGTATATTATATTTTAAAAATAAAGTATCTATAATATATGAAATCTTACCATTTCTTCATCATTTTCCATAGAAATCAGATTGGATTTCTTAAGGGCACAGGCTGTTTGACTTTCTGTCCAGCTTTTTTTTTTACTACTAATAAAATAACAATTGTTGGAATAAGAAATCCAGTCTTCTGGACAATGACCACAATGATGCACTGAGGAAAGGTTCAGAATTACTATAGAGAAATAGTTTGAATTAAAAATGCAAAGGTAATTGACATTTTTGAATAATAATGTTATTATATTATGCATAGACATATACAATCGATAAATGTAATTTACCATATTTACATATAAAAAATGCATACACACAAAATATCATCAGACTCCCAGCCCTAATTTATCTATCATTAAAAAGACCTATGCTATTCAGGTTCTGAAAATCACTGAACAACACCAGTTTATTAGAAGAGTAAAATTATTTCATTTCTTACCATATTATGCTGTTGTTGTTTGCTAAGTGTTGTCGAGTTGATTTTCAACTCATAGCCACCCATGTAACACAGTAGAAGTTCCCATAGGGAGCTTTAGATTATAATTTTTATAGGGAGAGCACCATGGCTCTGTAGGATAAACACTAGACTGTGAATCACAAGCTTGGCAATTTGAGACCACCAGCTGCTATTCAAAAGAAAGATGAGGCTTTCTACTCTCACAAAGATTTATAGTCTCAGAAATTCTATACAGAGGGGCTGTGTGTCAGAACCAATTCAGTGGCATTTACTAACAATAATTATCTTTATAGAAGCAGTAGAGGATTTGAGTCACTTGTCAAACAAGGGTATAATGATTTTAAATGCATATTTCTGCTATATTTGATAACATGAATGCTCTCTTATGATTTTTATCTATAAAAATTATTGCTACATTTTAGAAGGTTTTTAAATGCCTTATTATTTCTTCATGACCTAAATAGAGACAAGATAGCTGTGGCACTGTGGGATAACACACTGGACCACAAGTTCTGTTTGGACTACAGGGTGGGCAGTTCTAACTCACAAGTCACTCTTCAGAAGCCTTATCAAAGTTCGCTATGAGTCGGAATTGACTTGAAGATACTTGATAACAACAATAACCTTAACATATCAGAATTTTAAAAATGTTTACATACCTTTCGGGACTCTGTTCTTTTCCAGTATTACAGTGCCTAGACAGAGTAAAGTAATTCTCATAGTGATTAATATTTCTTTAATAAATCACAATAGTTTTGTTGTCTAGCATAATCTTTGATATATTATCTTAAAATACAATAATATCATTTAAAAATATTTTATCAATGTAATTTAATCAATGAAGTTCTCAAGAAAAATATTCGAACAGTATCATGAACAAATTTTGCCACTTCTTATAGTATTTGATTTAATTACTTTAAAAAATTAACTTTTATTTCTCAAATAAGTGTTTTCAGTCTTAATGCAAGTTTTGGAAATGTGAAAACACATGTATATATATATATATATATATATATATACATTTATGTATAATATACACATTTAGAATTTAAAAACATTCTTTACAATCATTCTGTTATTCATCTCTTTGAAAAATTCAGAATAACTTTTCCATATTCAGTTCACATTAATGATGCATTCTAAATTTGTCAAGTTTAAACAAAACTTGACAAATATATGACACAAATGCATTAATTAAAATGAGAGTTCTACTCCTTAATATTATGAAATATATTGAGGCACATTGAACATTTTAGAAGGAATATCCCCTTATAGTATTTTACGTACTTACCGGGGTTAATAATTCTCACAATTTCTATGCTGGCCATCAAGACAATGCAAGTGACTCCTAAGATCCCAGCAGTGAGCTTTCCTGGAGGAGATGGACAATAAGCAAAGAGATAAAATGGAAGCACTGAGAAAAGATAGAGGTAGGCAATGTGTACAATGTTTGCATTCAAGAGAGGCCAGAAGCACAAGGAATCATATGCACAAGTACTAGACCTTGAATCCACATTCTCCATTGCAATTTTTCTCAAAACTTGCCATTTAATTGCCATCAAAATAATAGCTCATGGGTTACTTATGAAAGACTGCACATTTCAAAAATGCATAAATATAATTAATCTTTAGATTTTGTAGTAGAATATGATATCCAGCTGAAAGGTCCCACCTTCAAAAATGAAGACTCTTAAGCCTGTGCCCTTAATCTGACTTTCCTTGTTCCATGTCAAGTTTTGACTCTTTCCCCACATCTCTGCACTATGCTTTCTAATTAAGTTATATTGCGAATTGACTAAATGTTTTACCTTTGCAGTGGCCATTTTTGTCATTCTTCTGAAGATTCTGAGAAGTGTTATGAAGGATTAAATCTGCTTAAGTTATTTCCTGCTCACTTATTGAAATGGATTTTTTAGCATCCTTAGATTTCATTTGGTGTCTTTTTGAGTTCTTGATCAGATTTATATCTGAGTAGGTTTTTGTTTGGTTATTCATCTCTGCAGCAGAGTTGTGCCAAGCTGTGTGCACTATGGTAAACTGAGCTTAAGAAGGAAATGTATGCTGGTTATATGACAAGATCAAAGTAGGTGGGGGAGACAGTGTACTCTTTGCAGCTGAGAGTCTCATGTTCTGGCTCTAATTGGAGTCTCATACAAATGTCTCATCGTGGGATAAGTAATTTTATTTTGCATTCAATAAAACATTAATACTTGGAGTAAAAAATGCAATAAGTTATTGAAAAATAAATGTGGCTCATAAATGAGATTAGTCTTGCTTATTGAAGTCAGTTCCACAGAAATAAATCATTACACTTCTTGGGTTAAAATTAAAATGTTCTATTGGGGATAAATGCATCCATTTAGGAAGACAACTTTCTAATACAATTATCGTTAAAGACTCAATGTTCCAAAGAAGTAGGAGATCGAAAGCTGGTATGTAGTTGTTAAATGAAATTGTTTTAATTTACTGACTAATGTTTATTTAGCCTATAGTGATGACATGGCACGATATTTTTTTAAATTAATGAATGGGTAGAGTTTTGAGAAATCATTGTATATTTATTTGAGCACTGTTGACTCAAACTTCCAGTTCGTCACAGTGCACAAGGGTTCATTCCTTTAGATGTATTGCTATACTTCACCAACCACCACCATACTTCAGTAGTTGGTGTTATGTGCCGTGGGTTAGATTCCAACTCATAGAGACCCTATACAGGGTTTCCTTGGCTGTAAATCTTCATGGGAGCAGAAAGCATGCTCATCTCTCTCCCATGGAACAGCTGGTAGTTTCAAACTGCTGACTTTGAGGTTAGCAGCCCGATTAGTAAACCACTACGCTACCAGAGTGCCTTGCTATACTTCAGTAATATTATTTAATAATTTTTTAGTTGAACATAAGTCTGGTGCTGTAGGAAAAGTCCTGGAGTGCTAACCACAAGGGTTAGCTCCTTTGGTGAAAGATTAGACTGTCTGCTCCCTTAATGATAACTGACTTTTGAGTCATAACTGACTCAATGGCTGTCAGCTTTTGTGTGTGTGTGTGCTTTTTTATTGTTTATTATTAACTTTAGATTAAGATTTAATGTAAGCTAATATTTTTTAATGTAAAACTTTCTGTACATAATCTGTATATAATCAGTGATTGAGGATTTATATTTGGCCTTGAATCATTCTATCAATTATTTATTAAAACAAAGAACCCTGCTATGATGAGAGTCCTAAATATAAAACAATCCATGATTTTGCAAAGACACGGTTTGAGTGAATTATAAAACCCAAAATCAATTGTTCATTTTCATGATATTTAGGAGATTCCACTTTAAATTATGTTGACTTACAAGCCCAAGTGTAGAAATCATCAAAAGAAGATGGAAGGAATAAACAGTCACTGTGCCAAAAGGAAAATGTTGATGTTCAACTGTTTAAAGAGGTAGCATATGATCAAGAACCAATGATACTAAAGGAAGAAATCCAAGGAGACTTGAAGGAAATGGCAAAGAACAAGGTACCAGGAATTGATGGAATAAAAATTGAAATATTTCCAGAAAATGAGGCAGGATTGGAGGCACTCACTCATCTATGCCAAGAAAATTAGAAGACAACTATCTGGCCAACTGATTGGAAGAGATACGTATTTGTGCCCATTCCAAAGAGAGGTGACTCAATGAATGTGGAAATCATCGGACAATCTTTTTGATATCCCACGTGAGTAAAGCTTTATTAAAGGTAATACAGAAACGGCTGCAAGCATACATTGACAGAGAACTTCCAGAGGTTCAAGCTGGATTCATTGCTGATGTCTGATGGATTTTGGCTGAAAAAAAAAAAAAAAAAGAATACCAGAAAGGTGTTTAGCTGTGCTTCATTGACTATGCAAAGGCTTTCAATTGTGTGCTTCATGACCAGCAATGGACAACATTGCGAAGTATGAGTATTCTGGAATACTTAATTGTGCTTTTCATGAGGAATTTGTGCATGGACCAAGAGGTAATTGAATAGAACACTGAATGTTTTAAAATTAAGAAAAGTGTGTGACAGGGTTGCATTCTTTCACCATACATGTTTAACCTGTATGCTGAGCAAATAATCTGAGAAGCAGGGTTCTATGAAGAAAAATGTGACATCAGGATTGGAGGAAGACTCATTAACAACCTGCAATATACAGAGGATGCAACCTTGCTCACTAAAAGTGAAGAGGACTTAAAAATAATTACTTTTGAAAATCAAAGACAACAGCCTCCTGTATTGATTGCATCTCATGAACATAAAACAAAAATCTTCACCACTGGACCAATAAACAACATTTTTAAATCTTTATGTCTTTATTGTGGATTGAGTGAAAGTTTAAAGGGCAGATTATCAGTTTTACATTCAACAAATCATACAACTTATTTCATCACAATGATTACAATCCCCTCCATGTACCATCAGTTAACAGTATTTCTCTCTATTCACTTTAACTCTTAAAAAAACAAAACAAAAAACACTCAGACATAAATAATAATTTACATCACCAAAGGGCACATTCTGTAAATCTGCCTCATGGTCACCAGCTCTCAGTTCCTCTCTTTCCATGAATCTAGAGTCCTCAGCTGCTCCCTCTGTCCACGTCCCCATCTCTGCCTCTATCTATGGCATCGCTGCTTCTCTGGATAATTTCTCACATTCCACTTGTGCTCTTCTTCCTTGATGGTCCCAGGGTCTTTTGTTTCTGGACTGGAAGATTAACTGCTTCCCTATTTTTGTTATAAAACTTCTATCTTTACAATTGTGACAGTCGTAATTAGTCATGATAACAATTACTCACTATTGAATCACATACCCATCTCTTTTAACCAGACCCATCTAGACAAGATCAAAACTATTCAGTGGGGATTCTTTCTTCCTCCACACGCTCTAAAACTAAATTCCCTCTTGAAACCTTGTAATCCAATCACTTTGTGCATTTATCTTCCCTCATTTTAGGTAGCCAATGTCTAAATTGCCTATGCCTATCTACTCTGTGTACAGAGGGGATAGCATTGATACTTGATGTGAAAACGCCTTCCTTCTCTGTTGTTATTTAGAGAAGAGTATTTGAAATTACTCTGGCTTGGGTCAGGTGCACCTTAGTTCTCAAAATGACATCTTTGCTTTTTATCACTTTAAAGAGATATTTTGCAGCAGATTTGCTTAATGCAACACATCCTTAGATTTCCTGACTGTTGCTTCCATGGTTGTTGATTCTGGATCTAAGTTGAACGAAGTATTTGACAACTTCAATCTTTACTCAATTTATCATGATTTTATTTATTGGTCCAGTTGTGAAGATGTTTTTCTTTTTTTATTACTTTGTGTTACAATCTAAGCAGAAGGTTGTATTATTTTATCATCATCAATAAAGTATTTCAAATTATCTTGACTACAAGCAAACAAAGTTCTGTTATCTGCATTTCACAACTGGTTTGTGAGTGTTCCTTCAATTCTGATGCTGCGTTCTTCTTCATATACTCAAGGTTCTGAAATTACTTGAATATGTATACAGATTGAATACGTATGGTAAAAGGATACAACCCAGACACACACCTTTCCTGATTTTAAAGTATTCAGTATCACCTTGTTCTGTTCTAATGACTGCCTTTTGGTTTGTGCAGTCTCCTCTTGAACACAGAGAGGTGTTCTGGAATACACATTCTTCACAATTGTATCCATAGTTTGTTATGATCCACACAGAAAGCTTTAGTGTAGTCGATACAGTACAAGTAAATTTCTTTCTAGTTTTCTCTGCTTTCAACCAAGAGCTTTCTGACACCAACAATGATAACCTAGTTCCATATCTTCTTGTTAATCTAGCTTGAATTTCTGGCAGCCCCCTGTGTATATACTGTTGTGACCATTTTGTAATTATCTTCAGCACAATTTTACTTATGTTTGATATTATTGATATTGTTTGTATTTCCTCATTTCATTAGATTGCCTTTCTTTGGAATGGAGACAAATATTTATCTCTTCTAATCAGTTGTAGCTGTCTTCCAAATTTCTTGGCATATGTGAGTGAGCACGTCCAGTACTGCATCAATTTGTTAAAGTTTCTCAATTTGTATTCCATCCATTCTGGAGCTTTGTACAATGACTTCAGTACAGTTCCATTTGGACTTCTTCCTTCAATGCCATTGATGCTTAATCATGTGGTACCTCTTGAAATAACTGAACATCGACCAATTATTTAGGGTACAGTGACTCTATATACTCCTTCTGTCTGCCCATGTTTTGTCCATGCTACTGTTGCTGTTGCATGTCTTCAAGTCATTTCTAATTCATAGCTACCCTGCGTAGGGTTTCTGAGGCTGTAAATATTTTTGGATTTTTTTTAAACTTTTTATTATGGAGTTAGTGAAGATTTCTGGTAGCGTGGTGGTTACAAGTCAGGCTGCTAATCTCAATGTCAGCGGTTCGAAACTACTAGCTGTTCCATGGGAGAAAGATGAGGCTTTCTGCTCTGGTAAAGATTTATAGCCTTGGAAACCCTATACAATGTCCCTATGAGTCAAAACTGATTCCCCTGCACATAGTCACTACCCCATCATCAGTTATACATTCAACAAATCATATGTTTTGCCTCATTACATGTTTGCAATCCCCTCCATGTACCAACAATTACCAGTATTTATATCTATTCATTTTAATTATTGCATTCCTCCCTGTGTCTCCTGCTATCTTCATCTTGCTTCTGCTGACTTCTGTCTTGCTATATTGCCTGCCCCATCACCCAAATTAACATGTAACTACCTTTCTATTTTTAAGTGCTGTCATATTAATTTTGAATCTCAGTGACTCACTCAAGGGTTTCTGAGGAATGGCTGGTGGAATTGATCCATTTGAGCTTGAGGTTCAAATTGACGTTGCGGTCCAGTGTATTACCACAGCACTATACCAGGACTTCATCTACTCTCTAATTCAGGAATCGTTTTCCCTGTCCCTTGCTTCATAATCATCATAGATTGTTTCTTTTATCAG